GTGCTAGGCCGCTGAAGAAACAGAGAATGCGAAACTCTGGCACTATCCTATACCAAGGAAATCTAAATCTAAAGAAGGTACTAGAATATACTTGTAAATACATGATCATGTGAATGTGTCACATGACAGACACAGCCTCATTACTAGATAGGAAAGGAATAATGCATTTTTCTAACAGTTTTTATATAGCAAAAGCAACTTATCATTACTTTTCTTTATAGTTAAATTTAACCAGCTGTCTAACTCATGTGCAATTTGAGATTCAACTATACATCATAGTAGTACTTTCATTGATCTTTTAACATATTTGGTAGGCAGTACTAATTTTTTCTATAATCTCTTAAAACTACATTAACTCATACTCATTTAAATACTCTTATACTACTAACAAGTATATGATCTCTTGAAATCCACCATCTCCAATTATTCTATAATCTGTAAACTTGAATTGAGCACTCTTGGGAGAGACTAGTTGTTTTTCAACAGAGTCTTAGTATGAGGTCATACTACCATTGATCTTGATAACTGGTATTTGCAATCCTGTTCTCTTGTCAATAAAGTTGAAATCTATTGTATGCTAATTAGATAATTTCTGCTGATAATCTGCTTGCAGATCTCAAGAGATGAACCAGTAGTAAATTGATATAATTTTACTTACCTTTCAATGAATTCTAGCCTTATCCTAAAGAGTTACAATCTGTACCTGCTCATCATATATAGTTTCATGGAGTTTGCAATCACCTGCTAGTATAAAGTCTCCCTGACAGCCCTTGTTCTTCATAATATTACAGCCTGTAACCTTGACTTTTGCCTATTGCTTTATTTCTTTCAATCTATGATATTGTTAAGTTGTTGGAATAGCTCTACTGTCATGATATTTAAGCACTCCCTTACTATGGTAGTTGTATTGAGTTTGCTCAGGCTGTCATCAGAATCTTGTGATCATACAGAAAAATCCTACCAAGAGGCAGAAATCCTAGCCAGTTGCATCACACACCATGTGGCTTCCTATAATATATCCATTGGTTCTAACTGGCTTGTTGTATCAACCAATCCCACTTTGTCCACCTCACTTACCCTTAACCCCCGGTACCGTCAAAATTTGGACCTCCCCCTTTCCAGTCCAATCATATCTCACCACCTATTCTTAACCCTCCCAACCGGAATTGGAAGGCCCCGGGAGATAGTCAGCCACCTGGCTCAGTTTTTTTCTTTATCATACAGCAGGGGGGAAGGGCAGAAATTCGTCTTACATTTTTAGTAAGATAAACTCGAATACAAGGTATTTTTGCCCCCCCCCCCGCTGTACTCGAGTACGAGTACTTTATTTCAACGTACTAATAGTCGCGGTTAAATCGTACTAGTACCTGTTAATGTAGCACTTCCTAACCCGGCACCACGTTCCCCCTCCACCTATTTCTAGCAGCATAGCGCCGCTACCACTCGGCTCCCAAAAATCTTCGCTAATATTGAAGTCTTACTGCCATGCTATTTTCGAGTACTCTACTTGTGGTCTAGAACAAAACGGGTTCCTTCGCTTGGAACTAATGTTTCGTCGCCGCCGATCAGACGTCTTTGCCAAGACCCTGCTTGGAGTGCCCGGTGCTGTTGGTGGTTTTATGAGGCGGATTACGAAACACTTACATAAGTTTATCCGGATTTTTAACCTATATCATATCTCCTTGACATCCTAACAGAGTTTTATAACATATATCTCACCTTGATTCGCATGTATCGTAAGTAAAAAAAAAAAAAAAAAAAAAACCTTATTGGTGATGATCACAATATATGCATAGACCAAAATTTAATAAAAACAAAAAAAAACTATTCTTGTTATCATAACTTATACCAATTTTTTGGAGTTCTACACCACAAATTCAAACTTCGAGCCAGAACTACAACGAGCCAGAATTTCTCGGAAAAGACTGCGTGATTTTCCCCCACTCTATCACGCGAGAGGTTATTTTTGCTCAACCGGTTCCCGCTCCATTATTAATCAAAGTCTAGTTAAAAGCGTAGGGCACGTGGCGAAGTGCGATCCAGAACAAACCTTTCATTCCAGGCCGACCTCTCTCGTCCTTTCTATTTTTGATGCAAGCGAGTTCTGGGGACGTAGACTAAGTCCAGCCAAGGTGGAAGTGTTCTAGAAGACCAGATGTAGCGATAGTGCTGACACAGATGACATAATCCATCACCCAACGCTTTTAGCGATGACTTGATCCGTTTATTTTTACTCAGAGGACGAAGGAGAAAGACGAAACAACCGCCGGGAAGCGAAAAATGAACAACAGTGCAGGTGACGGGCGCGCGCCTCCCCCTGGCAGCGTAAGGCGAGGGAGCCAGAATGCAGTCAAGAGGGAGGAAGAAGTAAGGCGCAAGTGCAATGCATGCATCTACCCGCGATCAACAAGTAGGGTACTGGACAGCACAGATTGAGTACTGTACAAACAAGACCCAACAGTGATGGGTAACCATGAAAGCGAGCACAATGAGGCGGGGGGGCACAAAGATGAATGGGTAGGAAGGTTTTACTACTCGAGTAGAAGGGGCTCGGGGTAACTATCGAGAAAAAGCACTATCGTACAGTACTGTACACGCTAGAAATTTCCCAAAGAAAAAAAAAACAAGAGGCGCCTGTAGCACAGAAGGAGGAAGTCAATTATACCGGTTGATACTGTACGAGGTTCAATTAACACCCGATTCGCTTCTCCTACCGAGATGATCCCAGCAATTGAATGTATTTTTACCACAGATGCGCGCACACACTTGAGCAAAACGCGAACAAAATAACTCGAAAAGAAAAAGGAGGAAGGAGAG